TCCCTGGTAACTGATGAGCACACCTGAAGTCAATTCCCCCTATAACTGGTAACCTCCTTCCCCCGCAGAGCAGCAAAGATGGCTGCCGAGTCCTGTCTGCCGCACACGGTGGGGTGTTGCTCCAGGATGTTGCTTCAAATGTGTAAGATCCCCTATCCAACAAATCACTGATGTCTCTGTCACTGTCTCTGGGCTGTTCCTTTGGTCTCAAGGCTGGGCCACTACAAGGCTTGCAGGCCTGCGGGAGTGCAGCCCAACAATTGGCGAGCCAGCCGAGAAGCCAAGGAAACTCCCGGGCGCACCGAGATGTCGGGGAACAAGGACGGGCAATGGAACGTTGTGAGGAATCCGGGGGGTGGCCATCCACTCGTGTGCGGGGCCCTGTGGCGTCTGTCCTTGATGAATGAGGGCCGCCAAGAGACTGGCGAATCCACAGACCACCTTGAGGGTGTTGCAGAGATGTCGCTGCCATTACTGTGAGTAGGGTAAAAGAAGCTAGACGGTGGAAGGGGTGGCCGTGGCTGTGGGCCGGCTGCTGCTTTGGAGGCTGAGAAAGGCCCCAGACACTGAGCAAGTGCCCAAGGCTCAGGTTAGGGGCCTACAGGTAGGATGCCAGGCTGGCCCAAACCAAAACTGCTGGAACGTTAATGGCCAGATTGAGGGAACAAGATGGGAAGCAGACACTCAGCCCACCACGCCGCGTGGCTGAAGGGAAGGCAGCTTCCACCGACAGGGAGTCCAGATGGTTGGGGCCTGTCCAGGTGGGAACCCCAAGGCGTGGGACCCTACAGAGAGCACTGATGAAGAAGACTGGGACGAGGTCATCGAGCTCCCTGTCCCCCAGGCGCAGATGAAGAGCTCTTTTCCCCGCCAGAGCGGAGGCAGCAGACCATCAGGAGGGATGCCTCTCTCTCCCATCATAATGGTGATACTCTGTTAACCTCAGGGTCTGTTTCTCGTTTCAAAGTAGCAGCCCCCACGCTTGGAGCTCATTTGACAGCAGAGGGATGGCTGGAGAATGCAGAGAGAAGGCAAAGACCTGGATGACCTTTGGGTGTTATCTGGTCAGGTTAAGCCAAAAGTGGTACTCTCAGCAGTTACTGGCAAAATGCAAGCACACCTGTGACCCACCACCCCAAAACAATTACAGACCTGGCTAGGGCTGTTGGGCTGTTGGAGGCCTCTCGTCCCGCATCTGGCCCAAACTTTTTGACCCTTGTTCAAGCCTGTAAAGAAGGGAGCTCAGTGGGAGAGGACCCCGGGGGAGGAAGATGCCTTCACCCAAGCCAAGGTGGCTGTTAAACAGATCCAGGGCTTTAGGGATATGAACTCAGGGACACGCTTGTGAGTTGGACGTGGCCAGTTACCTGAAACGGTTTGGTTGGGGCCTGTGGTAACGGCGTAATCACAAGAGTGCCCTTGGGGTTCTGGTCCCACCCGTGGAAGGGGGCGGAATAACGGTGCTGTGGGATGGAACAACAGCTCTGTGCAATCGACAATGCTTCACAACAGGTGAAAGACATCCCAGGAGGCACCCTGGTGACTGTACGTACTCAGGATCCCACAGCTGAGTGGCTAAAGGATACCTTCCAGAAGCCCAAGTCCGGGCATGCACAAGTCCAAACCATAACTAAGTGGCATGTCTGTTGAAGGCAACGTAGCCCTTGACCTACTGGCCCACCGAGTGCAGAGTTACACGCTGAGGCCTGGTTACCTACACCATGGAGGACCCCACCGGCCTGACGGAGACAGCTGATCCTCCTGAGATACCACCGTTAGTGGAAGAAGGCACAGGCTCCACCCCTTGGGAGGTTTCGTACACTGACGGGTTGGCCTGGGGTAATCGGTGCAGGTGGGCAGCAGTGGCCAGCCGGCCTGCAACGGACAGCATCTGGATGGATACAGTGGATAGCCCAGCAGTGGATGGTGGCGGGGCGACCCTACGGGGAAAGGACCCCGATAGTGACCAAGGAACCCACTTTATGGGCCACGAAATTCAGGCATGGGCTGATAAAAATGACAGACACTGGCACTTCCCCCTGCACTACAACGCCCCTGCTGCCAGGCTAAGCGGAGGGATGAATGGGCCACTTAACCAGCTAGTGAAACTGGAAACCCGCTCTCTTGACATGTGGACCAGGACGCTAAGCCCCTCCGAGCTATAACTGAACATAGCAGGAGCAGTCGACCCAGTGCCTGCAGCACGTTAACCCAGAAGCAACTAGGCAACACCATCCAAGTTCAACTGTTGACCACCGAAGGACCAGTACTGATCAGGACAATAACTTGTTTTCACCCTGGCCACCAGACCTGTACCTAGGGGAACCCAGTACAAAATGGCCTGGGACTGGCAGGTAGGTCCCCGGCGGTTTGGGTTTGCTGCTTCATGGGGAATAGGATTAGAAAGGGACTTACAGGCTTCAGCTGTCCTCCACTTGGCCCTGCCTAACACCACTAAGGTAATTAATTCAGGCCCCTATTGGAGAAAGCACCATTATATGAACCCTATGGTCTGTTATACGCCCTCTCCAGTATTTGGCACTGGCTGTGGGGACTGAGGGTGGACAGACGGTGTGGGACTGCAGGCTGCGATGCAGACCACAGGTAGGGGTGGTGTGATCTCAGAATGCTGTTACTGCTTGTATTTGGCTTCAGGGTCATGATCTTCCCCCCCCCCCGTCTTGTGCCTGTAAAACATATCTATATTTCGTCCCTAGCCTGAGCAGAGGGAATCTGTTTGGTAACTGCACAGCAGCGGTGGCCTCGCCATTGGTAAGTCTGACTGCTGGGTCTACAGCGAGATGCTATTGTCATCCTCCTCTGGACTTCCATGAAAAGTTGACCCAATAAGCGCCTGGCTCCAAAGTCTTCCCACCTCTTGGACTCTTGATACTCCTTAGCAGCTGTTGGCTCCGTTGCATTTGTGGTATTTGGTTGCAGTGCCCTTTGCATACCTGACCCCAGGGATATGGCGGAAGAGGGTCAGACCAAGATTGTAAGGGTCATATAGGGTGTGTAGGGGTGGAGTGTATGGTCAGGCCGTTCAAGATGACTGTTCTCTTGCTCTCTGTACATCCCCAGCTCGACCAGGCCCTGCTTCACTCACATGACCATCCAAACCTCTTAATCATAGGCCTTAATCAGTAACTACTAATTACCTATGTGCTTGCCCCTGCCCCAGCTGCTGGTTTGCCTGGTAACTGAGGAGCCCACCTGAAGCCAATTCCCCCTGTAACTGGTAGCCTCCTTCTCCCCTGGAGTAGCGAAAACTGCTGCCGTGTCCTGCCTGCCACCTTCCATCCACAGTGGGGAGTCGCTGCAGGATGTTGTTTTGGACACATAAGATCCCCTATTCAACAAATTGTCATCTCTGTCGCTGCCTCTGGGCTCTTCGGTCTCGAGGCTGGGCTACTACAAGGCCCAACAGTCACGTCTCCTCCAAGAGACCCTTTCCAGACACAGGGTGATTCCGAGTAAGCACTTGGCTCGGCCCTGCCGGCCTTCCCCCCAGGCCTCTGCTCTGTGCTCCCCACCGGACGTTCCGTCTCCCCTTCTCCCGTAAGGCTGTCGGTGAGAAGTTCCCCTCCTCTCCTGCCTCCCTCCAGTCTCTCCTCTACTCAGCCCAACCGGGAAGAGTGCGAATCCTCCAGCTGAAATTCTCTGGGTCTAGAAACGGGTGTGAACAGGTGACTCGGGAGACACGAAGTGGAGGAAAAGAGAATCTTCCACATGGAGGTGGTCAAAGGACAAAGGAGGGCCCCAGCCGTCCATGTGCCAATTACCAACGCATCCCTCTGCGCACGTGCAGCCCCTTTCTAGGACCCACTTGTCCCTGGTCCGGGAGCTCTGGTGCAGTGCACAACGTGCAGCCATACGTGTCGGTCCTGACAAAGTGGCTGGACCTTGGAGTCGGAGCCCACAGGCAGGACAGCCGTCAGCCGTGGACAAGGGATATAACAGGTGTCTGGGAGAAGAACGGGGAGAACCCAGCTGTGCCCAGCGCTGTAGCTCCAGGGAACCGCCCCCCTCACTTCCTCGGTGCGTGTGGGGAGGGGTGGGGGGCAGCACAAACCACTGAGAAATGGGGAGAGTCAGCAGCTTCTGCCGGAAGGGGTGGGGGCTGCGGTGGGGACAGGAGGGAAAGGAAGAAAAGGGGGGAGACTTCCCGGCCGGGAAAGTCACTTAAGAGGCCTCCCTCTGAGCCCCCTGGGCAGCCTGTGGTGGGGCCGGAGACCGCAACGCAGGCATCTACTGCATCCCCACCCCAAACCGCCCCCCCCCCCAGAAGGAGGGGAGAGAACTGACACACACGGTGACAGCTGACGGTGCACCAGCCATTTGACCATCAACAGCCCTGTGACGAGGCCCGGCCAGGACACTGAGGCACAGCCCCCCCCCAGAAGGGGGGGAGAGAACTGACACACACGGGGACAGCTGACGGTGCACCAGCCATTTGACCATCAACAGCCCTGTGACGAGGCCCGGCCAGGACACTGAGGCACAGAGCAGTGAAGTGACACACCAAAGTCACTCAGCAGAGGGGCCTTAGAGCAACAGTGGCTGTGTCCCTTCTGCATAAGGCATCCCAAGGCTCTGGCAGTGGAGGCGGCTGTGCCGTCACAGTGGGGTTTCCTTCCACCTACAAGGTGGTGTGTGATGAGCCTCAAGGCGGTGTGCAAAGTGCCCGACACCTAGGAGGAGCCTGTCAGCCCCCAGCTTAGTCCCCGGAGAGAGAGAGGAAAGACCCCCGGAGGCAGGGCCAGGGACCCCCTTTCTGTGTGTCACCCCTTCTTAGTGTCCACAGAGGGCTCCCAGGAAGAAACAGCAGCGTTTGTCCTCTGGCTACAGAGCATCAGCCTCCTGATGCAAGATTGAGTGCTGGGGAAGCCCTTGTGCAGCCCCGGTCTCTCAAAATCCAACCTGCCACTAGCCCAGGCAGGCTGGGCATCAGCAGTGCACGGGAAGCTGGAATCTGACCCCTGGCGTCGGGCCTGGTCTCCATGGCAGCCGTGGATTTATAACCGGGGCCTCCACCCAGCTTGGCGGACTTTCGACTTGAAGCCGGGAGGAAGGGGAACAGGAAGGCGGTTCTGGGAGCAGCGAGCCAACTGGTGGCAACGGGAGGCCCCGCGATGGTGAGTGAGGGTCTGTGTGGCCCTGTCGAGCTGTCCTGGGCTGGGGTGGCCGGGCGGCTTTTGTGGAGTCCCTCCCTGACTGTTCTCTCTCTGCTGCAGGCCAAGTTTCTTTCCCAGGACCAAATTAATGGTAGGTTTGGTTTGTTCTTTCATTAGCAGCTCACAGCAAAATATGGGTCTCGTTAGGCAATTTGCTCTGCTCATTTTTTGTTAGTGGGAGGGAAGGAGGTTGGTGGGAGAGCTGGGCCCACCCACAGGCAAGGGGCCGGCCACTGCAGGGAAGGGCTGGGTTGGAGGTGCAGGTGCGGGGCAAAGCTCGGAGGTAAGAGATGTTGGTGTCACACTTGTCAGTGTGATTTACAAGAGGGAGTGATAGGAGAGGGAGCTCACTGGGTTTTCCCCCAGAACTTGATAGCTGGATTTGGGGAAGGAGAGGGCAAGGGGATGGACAGAAAGACACCACTGTGGCTGAGGACCCAACCAAAGGAGGGGGCTTTGTAACTGGCTGAGAAAGAGAAAAGAGCCCAGGTTTGCACTCTCAGGCAGGATGTTTCTACGCTCTGGGCCTCAGTCTCCCCATCTTTAAAGGGGGGAAGGTCAGCTTAGGTGGTCTCTGAGGTCCCTTCTGTCCTGACAGCAAGCCTAGTTTTGGTGTTTGGAGCACTTTGTTCCTGGAGTCCCCTGACCTGCTGGTCCCCAAGCAGGCTTCAGTTTCCCGCAGCGCATGGTTCTGTTTCCACAAGGCCAAGCCAACAGGGTTGGGTTACACAGAACTCAGGGGCCCAGACCTGGCTGGGGAGGCACATCCGAGCTCAAGTAGGGAGATGAACTGAGGGTTACCTAGGCAGGGATTCCAGAGTTCTGTGTACCAGGAGCTTGGTCTATAAGGGAGAGTGGGTGGGTGGGTTGTAGGCACCTCCCTAGAGACCCCTTGATATCCTTACCCCACAGGGGGGAACAGAGCAGGGACTCTTAAAACACAAGGCCCAGGGCAGGGGCCCCTCTTGCCCAGGTCTCGAGGCAAGACTTGAGGAGTCTCAGGGCTGGAGTCCAGCTATCAGCCTCAGCCTCCCCCAACCAACACCTGGCTCTGAGGCTCATCCTCCCTCTGGGGCCTCTGAACCTCCCAGAAGGGAAGAAGGTAAGTTCCCCTTTGTATGTTAATGTCTGACACAAAGAAAGTGACCACAAACGTTAATGAATGAAAGACTGGAGTGGGAAGACCAGGGACCTTGGAGGCAGTGGACCTGGGGTCCAGTCACCTCTGAGCCTCAGTTGTCTCATCTGTGAAGTGGGGCTAATGACACTGTCTCACCAGGCTGCCGTGAGAGACACAGCATATGTCAGCCACGTGCCTGACACTGGGCCTGGGTGTCACCCAGACGTACGCTGGGGCCAGCTTGCTTTTGCTAGCGTGAGCCAGATGGTACGGTTTTAAGAAATTTGTGAGCTGGTTGTTAAAATCAGCCATTATTAAATAATGGAAGATGAAAGAACGCTCCAATCCCTCCATCTGTATAAACATTTTAAAAAGATAATCTCTTGGGGCTTCCCTGGTGGCGCAGTGGTTAAGAATCTGCCTGCCAATGCAGGGGACATGGGTTCGGACCCTGGTGCGGGAAGATCCCACATGCCGCGGAGCAACTAAGCCCATGCGCCACAACTACTGAGCCGGTGCTCTAGAGCCTGTGAGCCACAACTACTGAAGCCCGTGTACCTAGAGCCCGTGCTCCACAAGAGAAGCCACCTTAACGAGAGGCCTGTGCGCCACAACAAACAGTAGCCCCCGCTCGCTGCAACTAGAGAAAGCCCGCGCGCAGCAACAAAGACCCAATGCAGCCTGAAATAAATTTATATATATATTTAAAAAATCTCTTACAGTCAATAGTGCTGAAGATTTGAAAGATGTCAGTTTAATGAATATAATTTGCACAAAGGCCGAGAAGTAGTTTAATAGGTCACTTACCAGCTGTTAATGATAGTACAGTCATTGGGAAAAGAGTGGCATTCATTGGCATGCAGCCTACCTCACTTAATGGTTAAATCCAAACTAGATTGGCAATGGCTACAAGAGCTGTCAAAACTCACTGTGATAATCAATTGGCTAGATGGAATTTATAATCGAGTATATTTTATGATTTGTAAATTGTGTGCTCAAGTCATCCTCAAGTCTATAAAACTTAAACTATGTACATATATCATCAGAGCCGGTTGTTACATTCCGAGCATACAAAGGGTGTTATCCTAGGCCCTGGGGAGGATTATTTCTTGCCTTGGGGTATTTGTATTTTTCAAAGGGAAAACCTAAAGGGGATTTTTAATTCAATTTATTTAACCCCATTTGTTCTTTCATTCAACAGTTATGAGTCCTTTCTTTGTGCCAGCCCAGATCTAGGCATTAAAAATATAGCAGTGCACATAATAGCCCCAAATTCCTGTGCTCACAGGGTTCACCTTGCAGGGATGGTGGGGGGCGGGGGCGGGGATGGTGGTGGTGGTGGTGGTGGGGACAACAGGAAAGTAGTAACATAAACAGGATGTTGGATGGCCGGCTGGCCTATCAGGAGAGCCAGGCAGGGAGAGGAAGGTGTGGAGGGCTGCGGGGGGG